CTGCGTGGCCGGGCCCCCCCTCAGGCGGCTCCCGCAGAGCGGCGCCGCTCGCCTGGACCCGGCGGAGACGGGTCTGCTGCGGGGAGCGGGACGGAGGGGCGGGGGGTCGCGGAGGGGAGGCGTGAGCCGCCGCCTGCGAAGCCTGTCGGCCTGGGCTGGGGGCAGGGAGTACTGGTTTCGGGGTTACCGGTTTCCCTTGCGCTCAAGGCGAAGTGAGTTTTTCTTTCTGAACTTTTGCACATGCAGAAATCAAACTGCTTAGATTTTCTGTTGGTGGATGCACAGTTGCATTTTTTTTCGGCCATCCAAGTGCTTCTTTCAAGCTGTAAACGTCAGATCTCCTCCTTGTATTTCTAGGGCTGTGCTTGTGTGGGGAGGAGAAAGATTGTACCCATTTCAGAGAAGCTACTGACCGCTCACCAACATGGTAGTTTTCACATGCAATGCGTGTGGAGAATCTGTGAAGAAAGCACAAGTTGAAAAACACGTGAACATATGCAGAAACTGTCAGTGCCTTTCTTGCATGGATTGTGGCAAGGATTTCTGGTAGGTAGAGGATGGGAAATAGCCTTGCTCACTCTGCAGTGGTTGTCACAAATATAAGATTTTCCTGTGGTGTATTAGAATTGAATTTGGCAATTTCTGAATAATTCCCATTTGTATTTAAAAATTATACGTGTTTTTATATAATTTCAAGCTTAATCATCCAAGTTTGAGCTGCAAGGACAACTAAACCACACAGTAAACAGAGTTGCAATTTCTTTTACAGTTATAAGTGACAGTGCTTTCAGCTTCTGATCATCCACAACTGTTACTTATTCTGCTACTGCAGAGAGAGTGAGATTGGCAATAACATCAAAAATTCTGAATTTAGTCGTCATTTCTCAGAACTCCGAAGAAAGCAGTGCTACTATCTGCTTTTGAAAGATAAATATATGAATTTGCTTAAGAAAATAAGATTTTCCTCAAATAATGATTATATTTCTCAATACTTCACTGACAAAAGATTAAGATCTATGTTATTCATTCTTTTTTGGGGGCACTTACACATTGGTCAGAACTACATTACCACATTAGTATATCTATATTTAGGAATTAGCATTTTTCACCTGCCTTGCTAATTTTAAAACATGTCAGTGTGAGTAGTAAAACACAGATACACGTTAATAGCTGTGTGTATGTTACATGCACAAATATGCAGAAGTTATACAGTCATTAATAAAAGCAGCAGTATACTGAAGACCCAGATCTGATTTGGCAAATCAGAAATTTTCGCTGAAGGCTGTAGCATGACAAATGTCAGCAGTCTTACAAGTATGTACTTTAAGCACATCAAACTTTACTCATATAAGCATTGACAGTATTAAGGTTTAAACGTTAGATGCTATTGTCTTATTCAGTTTGTTGATTACGTAAGTCTTGCATAGTTTGAAGGACTGACACTTCCGTGAACTACGGTTAAAAATCTCCTATGTTCAGGGGTGATGATTATAAGGAACATGTGAAGTGCGTAAGTGAAGACCAGAAGTACGGTGGAAAAGATTTTGAAGCCAAAACTAACAAAGGAGATGCTAAACAACAGGAGTGGATTCAGGTAAGGTTTGTACTATGTACAGGTGTGATAAATAACTGTGGTTTATAATCGTTAAAGACACAAGAGAAGCTCTACTGGATCAAACCAGACATCTATTTTTCCCAATATCCACAGCTTTCTTTTGGCAATTCCTTGGTAGGTCTATTGCTTATCCTGGTAAGAAATGCACCTTTTATTTGTTTTGAATCTGTCTCTTACTAGTTTGATTTAATGTTCCCTAGTTTTTGCATACAAAGAGGCATTGATCATTGTCCACCCTTTTCATGCCACGTACGCTTTTGTAGACCTCTGTCAGGCATCCCTCCCCATCTCATCGTCTCTGTTCCAGGCTGAAAAGTCCTATCCTGCTCAGTTGTTCTTCATATGTAAATTACATCTTTGGTCCTCTGAAGTCTTCCCAGTTCTACTGTGTCCTTGTGAAATGAGGTTACAAGAACTACATACGCTGTTCAAGATATGGATGAGCCATAGATTTGCTCTGTATCATAATTATGTTTTCTGTCTCCTTCTTTATTCCTTTCTTACTGATTTTTGTCAGTTGATCTACTTTTTTTTTGACTGCAGCTGATCATTGTGCTGGCATTTTCATGGAACTGGCTATTTTCACCCGAGGATCTTGTGTCTAAGCTCCAGTGATCAACTTAAAGCCTGCCATTTTAGATGTGAAGTTAGGATTGCTTTTCCTATGCATGCTGCTTTACATGAATTTGTGTTGAATTTAATTCACCTTTTTATTACCTAGTCAGTCATTCTTTAAGATCTTTCTGGAATTTTTCACAGTCCTCATCCTGAATAGCTTCATATCATCAGGAAAATTTTCCTGCCCTCTTTTCAGATATTTTGTAAATATGTTGAACAGCAGAGGGTGCAGCATGGATCACAGGAAATGCTTCCTACCCTTTCTGTCCTACCCTTCAGGTAGTTATTTATCCTGTGCAAGAACCTGCCTTTTTATGGCTGTTAGTTTCCTTTAAAGGTTTTAGGAAGGAACTCTCAAACACATTTTTAAAACCTCATTAAATATAATTAGTTAGATCACCTTTATCCCTGGATTTGTTGATTTCTATGTCATATAGAACACAATCTAACAAAGTACTAAGCTGCAGGCATACTCAAGGCATATGAATAATACCACTGAAGTCAACAGATTAGTGCCGTTGTTGACACTGAACATTGTTTGAGTAGATTGTTCAAAGGCAATATGATGTGAATGCTATTCCTTATGAAAATTGCTAGCCTTCCTCAATAGTAAGTACTTTCTACACAGAAAGTTGAGGGATTATTACAGAGTGTCCTTTTCTGGTAGTCTTAACACATCCACAGAACCTTTCAGTAAACAGATTTTCAGAAGTACAGGAGGGCTCTCCAGTGGCTACATCTTTAAATAATGGGAAGCTCAGAGCTGTTTTTCCCCACAAGCAGCAGTGCTGCTCAAGTAACTGCCATAAGGCCCTGGCCTAACCTTCTCTGTTCTCTTGTGCTGGCACCCGTAGCATAGGGA